CTGGTCTCTCTCACTGGTCTCTCTCTGTCTCGCTCTGGTCTACCGCTCTGGTCTCTCACTGGTCATCGCCTCTGGTCTCGCTCTGTCCGCTCTGGTCTCGCTCTGTCTCGCTCTGGGTCTCGCTCTGGTCTCTCTCTGGTCTCGCTCTGGTCTCTCTCTGGTCTCGCTCTGGTCTCGCTCTGGTCTCGCTCTGGACTCGCTCTGGTCTCTCTCTGGTCTCTCTCTGGTCTCTCTCTGGTCTCTCTCTGGTCTCTCTCGTCTCTCTCTCTTGTCTCTCCTCTGCTCTCTCTCTGCTCTCTACTCTGCCTCCTCTCTGTCTCGCTCTGGTCTGCTCTGGTCCCTCTCTCTTGGTCTCTCTCTGAGTCTCTCTCTGGTACTCTCTCTGGTCTCTCTCTGGTCTCTCTCTGGTCGCCGCTCTGGTCCTCCCTTTCTATCTTTGATGTTTGGTTTCTTTAACCTCTGAACAGAGGCACTTGTGATAACCCCAGGCCGGCTCAACGATCGGAGGCCATCTTGATGCCTGTTCGGAAATGCACAGTCCCCACATGGTCCTGACGCCGTTTGAGAACCGCAGAGAAGCCACATAGGAGAGATAAGAGGGAGGAAAGAGAGAGGAAGAGAGAGCAAGAGGGGAGAAAAGGAAAGGAGAGAGAGAAGAGAGAGAGAGTGGAGAAGAGACGAGAGAGGGCGAGATTAGAGTCCCAGCCGCTCTCCAGACTAAAGTAGTGAAAGTTAAATGTTTGAACAAATCAACACAACTTATGTCTTTGTTTGAAAAATCCTGTGTCTTATGTGTGAGAAAGACCCTGTGAGTCACAGTCTGAACTCTCTGGGCTGAGAGGCTGATTGGCTGAGAGAGGGGGGTCTCTTCCTCTTTTATTCACTTGTTTTCCCCTGCTGAAAAAACTGAATTTAATGATTGACCCGAGGCAAAAAATAAGATATGAGAGAGCAGAAAGGAGACAAAAGAGAGAGACCAGAGAGAGACCAAGAGAGAGACCAAAGAGAAACCAAGAGAGACCAGAGAGAAACCAGAGAGAGAGACCAGAAGAGAAACCAGAGAAAGACACAGAACGAAGACCTAAAGAGACCCAGAGAGAGACTAAAGATAGATATCAGAGAGACAGGAGAGACCAGAGCGAGAGACCAGAGAGAGACCAGGCGAGAGACAAGAAGAGACCAGAGAGAGAGAGACCAGAGAGAGACTAGAGGGAGAAACAGGAGAACAGGGAGACCAGAAGAGACCAGAGAGGACCAGAGGGAAACAGGAGACCAGAAAAAGACCAAGAGAGGACCAGAGAGAGACTCAGAGGGAGAACAGAGACCAAGAGACAAATAGTAGCCTAATTTGTTTTCCTAACCCTCGTTGAGGTCCTCTGACAGGAGCTTAATCAAAAATGTCAGTTTTAAAAGTGAAGACACCAAAACGAAACACGGAGACAGAATACGACTACGTCTCTGTCAGCTCAGAGTCGGATCAACTTGGTTTGGATCCGCTGGTCCAATCAAGAGAAACAGAGAGAGGACCAGAGAGAGACAAGAGGAGACTAGAGAGAAGACCTAGAGCGAGACCAGAGCGAGACCAGAGAGCCTAGACCAGAGAGAGACCAGAGAGAGACCAGAGAGAGACAGAGAGAGAGACCAGAGAGAGACCAGAGAGAGATCAAAGAGAGAACCAGAGAGAGACCAGAGAGAGACCAGAGAGAGACCAGAGAGAGAACAGAGAGAGACGCAAGAGAGACCAGAGAGAGACAGAGAGTGATACCAGAGAGAGAGACCCGAGAGAGAAAACCAAAGAGAGACCAAGAGGAGAGACCAGAGAGATAGACCAGAGAGAGAGACCCAGAGAGACCAAGAGAGACTTAGAGAGAACCAAGAGAGACCAGAGAGAGAGACTAGAGAGAGACCAGAGAGAGACCAGAGAGAGACCAGAGAGAGACTTAGAGAGAGCCCAGAGAGAACCAAGAGAGACTTAGAGAGAGACCAGAGAGAGTGCCCAGAGAGAGGCCAGAGAGAGAGACCAGAAGAGACACAGAGAGAGATTAAAAGAGACCAGAGAGAAAAAAGAGGCTAGAGAGAAGATCAAAGAGAGACCACAGAGAGAGATACTAGAGAAGAAGACTAGAGAGAGCAGAAGTGTGACCAGAGAGAGACCAGAGAGAGAGAGACTAGAGAGAGCAGGAGAGATCAGAAAGAAGGCTAGTGAGAGAGCAGGAGAGGACCAGCAGAGAACCAGAGAGAGATTGGGGGGATACCCAGAGAGAGAGAGGAGTTTGGAGCGATGTAATTATCTGTGTTTGGATCCGTCCTCAATCAGTGAGAAACAGATGGACCGACATTTGAACACAGCGAACAAGGACGAGACAAAACCATTCCTGTTAAAGACTGACAATTGAACCACATGGTCCTGACAAACCGGTCCTCTCACAATATTCCTGGTCTCGGTCCCTGCACTGGCTTCCTGTGGCTCTGAGAATACACTTTTGTCTCTCTCTCTCTTGACAGACACTGGTCCGCTCATCAGTTCTAATATCCGGTCTCACTCTGGTCACTTCTCTGGTCTCATCTCTAGTCACTCTAGTTCTCCCATTTGTTCTCTCTCTGGTCTCTCTCTCTCTCTCCTCTCTGGTATCTCCCCCCTCCCTCGCTTCTGGTCTCTCTGCTCTTCCTGTGTCTCTGTTCCTCATTCTCTCTCGTCTCTCCCCCTCCTCCCTTCAGGTCCCCTCTGTGCAGAGAGAGAGAGAGAGAGAGAGACCAGAGAGAGACCAGAGAGAGACCAGAGAGAGACTAGAGAGAGACTAGAGAGAGACTAGAGAGAGACCAGAGAGAGACCAGAGAGAGACCAGAGAGAGACTAGAGAGAGAGACCAGAGACAGACCAGAGAGAGACTAGAGAGAGACTAGAGAGAGACCAGGAGAGACCAGAGAGAGACCAGAGAGAGACTAGAGAGAGACCAGAGAGAGACCAGAGAGAGACCAGAGAGAGACCAGAGAGAGACTAGAGAGAGACCAGAGAGAGACCAGAGAGAGACCAGAGAGAGAGACCAGAGAGAGACCAGAGAGAGGCCAGAGAGAGAGACCAGAGAGAGACCAGAGAGAGACCAGAGAGAGAGACCAGAGAGAGAGACCAGAGAGAGAGACCAGAGAGACACCAGGGAGAGACCAGAGAGAGACCAGAGAGAGACCAGAGAGAGACCAGAGAGAGACCAGAGAGAGACCAGAGAGAGAGACCAGAGAGAGACCAGAGAGAGACCAAAGAGAGACCAGAGAGAGACCAGAGAGAGACCAGAGAGAGAGACCAGAGAGAGACCAGAGAGAGACCAAAGAGAGACCAGAGAGAGACCAGAGAGAGACCAGAGAGAGAGACCAGAGAGAGACCAGAGAGAGACCAAAGAGAGACCAGAGACCATGCAGAGCCTCAGAGAGGAGCATTCCTTCTCTGTGCGAGTCTGGTCTTGTGGAGAATAAACCTGAAACAAACCCTGAGAGCAGAGGAGTAGCTTTAGCTCCTTTACTGAAGCAGGGGAGGGGTCTGTACTAGGGTTTAATATTTGTAGGTCACTGGTCGTGCGTGTGAGGGCGACAGTAGCTCAGTTGGTAGAGCATTGGCCTTTGGGCCTGAAGGTCGGGAACCCACCGTAAGACCTACTTCACGACTCCCACTGATGACTGCTGTCGTTGTGTCCTTGGGCAAGACACTTAACCCCACTTTGCCCAAAGCCCCAACTGAAAGATCTCAGCTCCTGTGGACTCACCACCTGCAGGAGGATCAGTGAGGGGCTGGTGCTCTGTGTACTGGGTGCAGCTTTGACTGCCACCCCCCCGACCCAGAAATGGATTAAGGGGAAGAAAATGGATGGATGGATGGTTGTGCGTGTGGTTTGGAGGCACTGACTTCAGCCCTGTCAGATGAACATATATCACATAAATCAACAGAACCTACAGAGCGGCTTATTCACAATTAGTTTGGCTACAGCAGAATGTTTTCCATGCCCGCATTGTTTGCTCAAACAAAACGCAAAAGTTCGTAAAAAGCACATTTCCGAGTGCCTTACCTTAGTTATTAATGAACAGCACAGACCACTTCAGTTCAGACCAGTTGAAGTCCAGATAATAGTTTGAGCCTAGATATGTAATCCTCCATTTGAAAATAAGTCCAATGAGTTTTAAAAAGTAAAACAAACGGGTGTTTCCTCCATAAACTCCTGCGTTTCGCTGCAGCCGACTCTCGGGCGCATCCAATTTCTAATATCAACCTTCTTACTCTTCACGTCTCTTCCTTTTCATTCATATCGTCATTGGAAGCAGAACATTACCCTAAATGTATTTTAAATGATCTTCAAATGTGTTATCTGTATGTTAGCCAAACCTGTTGCTGCCCTTAGCAGATGGAAAAAAGAAAGGAGCTTTCTGATAGAATTCTGGGCTCACATGCGCCCTGTACCGTGGTGATATTACAAGTCGTGGTTTAGCGCGATTAAGACCCATATTTGTTTCAAAAACACAATCTATGAGCCATCCTCGCTGCTGTAGACATGTTGATTGTAAATGAAATATGTTTGAACTTTGAACAACAATAAACACGCACTATAAAAGGAGCGCACTGGATTTTTATTTCAACTTTCATTTCCCGTTTCCGTCATAACAGCTCAGGGGAGGGGTCTGTAGAGCTCAGGGGAGGGGTCTGTAACGGATGTGAGTTATACCACAGTAACACAAAAGAGTGTTCTGTGATACACACACACATACAGACACACACAGACAGACACACACAAACAGACACACAAAGACACACACAGACAGACACAAACACACACACACACACACATACAGACAGACACACAGACACACAAAGACAGACACACACAGACACACACACACACACACACAGACACACATACATACACAGACAGACACAGAGACACACACAGACAGACATACACAGACAGACACAGAGACACACACAGACACACACACACACACACACACACACACACTTACGTCTTGAACATCTTCTCCATGTCTTTGATCTGCTTCCTGGAGAACTCTTTGAAGTCGGTGTAGGGGTTGTAGACCTTGCTCATGTGGTGCTCTCCGCGGCCCTCGTTCAGTTCTCCGCGACGCTGCAGTTTGGCCCCGAGCTCCGAGTCTGCGTTCTCCGTGACCGCCTTGTCCTCCTCCTGCGGCTCCGCACTGAGGGACCAGACGTTTCAGACGAGACGTTTCAGACGAGACGTTTCAGACGAGACGTTTCAGACGAGACCTTTCAGACGAGACCTTTCAGACGAGACGTTTCAGACGAGACGTTTCAGACAGAGACGTTTCAGACGAGACGTTTCAGACGAGACGTTTCAGACAGAGACGTTTCAGACGAGACGTTTCAGACAGAGACGTTTCAGACAGAGACCTTTCAGACGAGACCTTTCAGACGAGACGTTTCAGACGAGACGTTTCAGACAGAGACGTTTCAGACGAGACGTTTCAGACGAGACGTTTCAGACAGAGACGTTTCAGACGAGACGTTTCAGACGAGACCTTTCAGACGAGACGTTTCAGACAGAGACGTTTCAGACAGAGACGTTTCAGACACAGACGTTTCAGACGAGACGTTTCAGACGAGACGTTTCAGACGAGACCTTTCAGACGAGACGTTTCAGACAGAGACGTTTCAGACAGAGACGTTTCAGACACAGACGTTTCAGACGAGACCTTTCAGACGAGACGTTTCAGACGAGACGTTTCAGACAGAAACGTTTCAGACGAGACGTTTCAGACAGAGACGTTTCAGACAGAGATGTTTCAGACGAGACGTTTCAGACGAGACGTTTCAGACAGAAACGTTTCAGACGAGACGTTTCAGACAGAGAAGTTTCAGACGAGACGTTTCAGACGGAGACGTTTCAGACGGAGACGTTTCAAACGGAGACGTTTCAGACACAGACGTTTCAGACACAGACGTTTCAGACACAGACGTTTCAGACGGAGACGTTTCAAACGGAGACGTTTCAGACACAGACGTTTCAGACGGAGACGTTTCAGACGGAGACGTTTCAGACGGAGACGTTTCAGACAGAGACGTTTCAGACAGAGACGTTTCAGACAAGACGTTTCAGACAGAGAAGTTTCAGACAGAAACGTTTCAGACGAAGACGTTTCAGACGAGACGTTTCAGACAGAGACGTTTCAGACGAGACGTTTCAGACGAGACGTTTCAGACGAGACGTTTCAGACAGAAACGTTTCAGACGAGACGTTTCAGACAGAGACGTTTCAGACGAGACGTTTCAGACAGAGACATTTCAGACAGAGACGTTTCAGACGAGACGTTTCAGACGAAGACGTTTCAGACGGAGACGTTTCAAACGGAGACGTTTCAAACGGAGACGTTTCAGACACAGACGTTTCAGACGGAGACGTTTCAGACAGAGACGTTTCAGACGAGACGTTTCAGACGAGACGTTTCAGACGAGACGTTTCAGACAGAGACGTTTCAGACGAGACGTTTCAGACAGAGACGTTTCAGACAGAGACGTTTCAGACGAGACGTTTCAGACAGAGACGTTTCAGACGAGACGTTTCAGACAGAGACGTTTCAGACAGAGACGTTTCAGACGAGACGTTTCAGACGAGACGTTTCAGACAGAGACGGTTCAGACAGAAACGTTTCAGGCAAAGACGTTTCAGACAGAGACGTTTCAGACGAGACATTTCAGACAGAGACGTTTCAGACAAAGACGTTTCAGATAGAGACGTTTCAGACAGAGACGTTTCAGACAGAGACGTTTCAGACAGAGACGTTTCAGACGAGACGTTTCAGACGAGACGTTTCAGACGAGACGTTTCAGACGAGATGTTTCAGACACAGATTCAGATTCAGATTCAGTTTATTTGCCATTTGCAGTAAAACCACATTGGAATACATTATCAAAAGTCTCCAGTGTGCACAGACAAATACAGACATAAAACAACATTAAAAGACAGAAATAAAATAAAACAGTAAACAAATGTCACTGTGAAATGGATCGACTAAAACAGTTTCAAAACAAGTGCAAATCATTAAAGTGCTCTGTTCACACTGATAACAGCTTGTGGATAAAAACTGTTAGCGTAACGAGATGTCCTGCATCTCAGAGAGCGATATCTTCTGCCAGAGGGAAGAAGCTGGAACATGGCTTTCCCAGGGTGACCAGAAGAGTCATTAACAATCCTAAGAGCTTTGTTTAAAAGTGTGGATTTATAAAGAACCTCCAGAACAGGAAGCTCACAGCCCACGGTCCTCTTTGCAGAGCGGAGCACCTTGTTTAAAGCTCTCTTTTCTTTATCTGTGATGTTTCCAAACCACACAGACACAGAACCAACAAGTAAACTCTCAATGGTGCAGCCATAAAAGTTAAGCACAATCTTAGAGTTAGTGGTAAATTCTCTAAGTTTACGCAGAAAGTAGAGACGCTGACGAGCTTTCTTAACGACTCGGTCAGTGTTTTTAACCCATTTCAGGTTAGACAAAGTTAAACCCAGAAACTTGCTCCTCTACGATCTGCACCTGGGAGTTGTCGATTACGACAGGCAAATGAGAACTATTGCGACGGAAGTCGTGACCAGTTCACATGTTTTGGATGCGTTCAACTGGAGGTTGTTAGTTTGACTCCACTGAACCACGTTTTGGATCTCTGCTCTATAAGAGGATTCATCAGTGTCACTGTTGAGACCGATGATGGTGGTGTCATCAGCATATTTGATGATCAAGTTTGAGTCAGAGGAGGACACACAATCATGAGTGTACAAAGTAAAAAGCAACAGACGTTTCAGACGGAGACGTTTCAGACACAGACGTTTCAGACGAGACGTTTCAGACACAGACGTTTCAGACGAGACGTTTCAGACACAGACGTTTCAGACGAGACGTTTCAGACGAGACGTTTCAGACAGAGACGTTTCAGACGAGACGTTTCAGACGAGACGTTTCAGACAGAGACGTTTCAGACAGATACTTTTCAGACAGAGACGTTTCAGACAGAGACGTTTCAGACAGATACTTTTCAGACAGAGACGTTTCAGACAGAGACGTTTCAGACGGAGACGTTTCAGACGGAGACGTTTCAGACAGAGACGTTTCAGACAGAGACGTTTCAGACGGAGACGTTTCAGACGGAGACGTTTCAGACACAGACGTTTCAGACACAGACGTTTCAGACGAGACGTTTCAGACAGAGACGTTTCAGACGGAGACGTTTCAGACAGAGACGTTTCAGACAGAGACGTTTCAGACACAGACGTTTCAGACGAGACGTTTCAGACAGAGACGTTTAGACGAAGACGTTTCAGACGAGACGTTTCAGACACAGACGTTTCAGACAGAGACGTTTCAGACAGAGACGTTTCAGACAGAGACGTTTCAGACGAAGAAGTTTCAGACAGAGACGTTTCAGACAGAGACGTTTCAGACGAGACGTTTCAGACGAGACGTTTCAGACGAGACGTTTCAGACAGAGACGTTTCAGACGAAGACGTTTCAGACGAGACGTTTCAGACAGAGACGTTTCAGACAGAGACGTTTCAGACGAGACGTTTCAGACACAGACGTTTCAGACACAGAAGTTTCAGACACAGACGTTTCAGACGAGACGTTTCAGACACAGACGTTTCAGACAGAAACGTTTCAGACGAGACGTTTCAGACACAGAAGTTTCAGACACAGACGTTTCAGACGAGACGTTTCAGACACAGACGTTTCAGACGAGACGTTTCAGACACAGAAGTTTCAGACACAGACGTTTCAGACGAGACGTTTCAGACGAGACGTTTCAGACGAGACGTTTCAGACGAGACGTTTCAGACAGAGACGTTTCAGACGAAGACGTTTCAGACAGAGACGTTTCAGACGAGACGTTTCAGACGAAGACGTTTCAGACAGAGACGTTTCAGACGAGACGTTTCAGACAGAGACGTTTCAGACGAGACGTTTCAGACAGAGACGTTTCAGACGAGACGTTTCAGACAGAGACGTTTCAGACGAGACGTTTCAGACACAGAAGTTTCAGACACAGACGTTTCAGACAGAGACGTTTCAGACGAAGACGTTTCAGACAGAGACGTTTCAGACAGAGACGTTTCAGACACAGACGTTTCAGACAGAAACGTTTCTGACGAGACGTTTCAGACACAGACGTTTCAGACACAGACGTTTCAGACAGAAACGTTTCAGACACAGACGTTTCAGACACAGACGTTTCAGACACAGACGTTTCAGACAGAGAAGTTTCAGACGAGACGTTTCAGACACAGACGTTTCAGACAGAGAAGTTTCAGACGAGACGTTTCAGACACAGACGTTTCAGACAAAGACGTTTCAGACAGAGACGTTTCAGACGAGACGTTTCATACACAGATGTTTCAGACGAGACGTTTCAGACGAGACGTTTCAGACACAGACGTTTCAGACGAGACGTTTCAGACAGAGACGTTTCAGACAAAGACGTTTCAGACGAAGACGTTTCAGACGAGACGTTTCAGACGAGACGTTTCAGACGAGACGTTTCAGACGAGACGTTTCAGACGAGACGTTTCAGACAGAAACGTTTCAGACGAGACGTTTCAGACATAGACGTTTTAGACATAGACGTTTCAGACGAGACGTTTCAGACACAGACGTTTCAGACACAGACGTTTCAGACAGAAACGTTTCAGACAGAGACGTTTCAGACAGAGACGTTTCAGACAGAGACGTTTCAGACAGAGACGTTTCAGACAGAGACGTTTCAGACGAGACGTTTCAGACACAGACGTTTCAGACACAGACGTTTCAGACACAGACGTTTCAGACGAGACGTTTCAGACACAGACGTTTCAGACAGAGACGTTTCAGACGAGACGTTTCAGACGAGACGTTTCAGACGAGACGTTTCAGACAAGACGTTTCAGACAAGACGTTTCAGACAGAGACGTTTCAGACGAGACGTTTCAGACGAGACGTTTCAGACGAGACGTTTCAGACGAGACGTTTCAGACGAGACGTTTCAGACGAAGACGTTTCAGACAGAGACGTTTCAGACAGAGACGTTTCAGACAGAGACGTTTCAGACGAGAGGTTTCAGACACAGACGTTTCAGACGAGAGGTTTCAGACAGAGACGTTTCAGACAGAGACGTTTCAGACGAGACGTTTCAGACACAGACGTTTCAGACGAGAGGTTTCAGACGAGACGTTTCAGTACTCTTTCTACAGTCTGACAGTGTAACAGTACTCTTACTACAGTCTGACAGTAACAGTACTCTTACTACAGTCTGACAGTGTAACAGTACTCTTACTACAGTCTGACAGTCTACAGACGTTTCAGACACAGACGTTTCAGACAGAAACGTTTCAGACACAGACGTTTCAGACACAGACGTTTCAGACAGAGAAGTTTCAGACACAGACGTTTCAGACACAGACGTTTCAGACGAGACGTTTCAGACAGAGACGTTTCAGACGAGACGTTTCAGACGAGACGTTTCAGACACAGACGTTTCAGACGAGACGTTTCAGACGAGACGTTTCAGACAGAGACGTTTCAGACAGAGACGTTTCAGACGAGACGTTTCAGACGAGACGTTTCAGACGAGACGTTTCAGACGAGACGTTTCAGACGAGACGTTTCAGACGAAGACGTTTCAGACGAGACGTTTCAGACACAGACGTTTCAGACGAGAGGTTTCACACAGAGACGTTTCAGACAGAGACGTTTCAGACGAGACGTTTCAGACACAAACGTTTCAGACGAGAGGTTTCAGACGAGACGTTTCAGTACTCTTTCTACAGTCTGACAGTGTAACAGTACTCTTTCTACAGTCTGACAGTAACAGTACTCTTACTACAGTCTGACAGTGTAACAGTACTCTTACTACAGTCTGACAGTGTAACAGTACTCTTACTACAGTCTGACAGTGTAACAGTACTCTTACTACAGTCTGACAGTGTAACAGTACTCTTACTACAGTCTGACAGTGTAACAGTACTCTTACTACAGTCTGACAGTAACAGTACTCTTACTACAGTCTGACAGTGTAACAGTACTCTTACTACAGTCTGACAGTAACAGTACTCTTACTACAGTCTGACAGTGTAACAGTACTCTTACTACAGTCTGACAGTAACAGTACTCTTACTACAGTCTGACAGTGTAACAGTACTCTTACTACAGTCTGACAGTGTAACAGTACTCTTACTACAGTCTGACAGTGTAACAGTACTCTTACTACAGTCTGACAGTGTAACAGTACTCTTACTACAGTCTGACAGTGTAACAGTACTCTTACTACAGTCTGACAGTAACAGTACTCTTACTACAGTCTGACAGTGTAACAGTACTCTTACTACAGTCTGACAGTGAAACAGTACTCTTACTACAGTCTGACAGTGTAACAGTACTCTTACTACAGTCTGACAGTGTAACAGTACTCTTACTACAGTCTGACAGTGTAACAGTACTCTTACTACAGTCTGACAGTAACAGTACTCTTACTACAGTCTGACAGTGTAACAGTACTCTTACTACAGTCTGACAGTGAAACAGTACTCTTACTACAGTCTGACAGTGAAACAGTACTCTTACTACAGTCTGACAGTGACAGTTAACAGTACTCTTACTACAGTCTGACAGTGTAACAGTACTCTTACTACAGTCTGACAGTGTAACAGTACTCTTACTACAGTCTGACAGTGTAACAGTCTTACGTCACAGTACAGTACTCTTACTACAGTCTGACAGTGTAACAGTACTCTTACTACAGTCTGACAGTGTAACAGTACTCTTACTACAGTCTGACAGTGTAACAGTACTCTTACTACAGTCTGACAGTGTAACAGTACTCTTACTACAGTCTGACAGTTAACAGTACTCTTACTACAGTCTGACAGTGAACAGTACTCTTACTACAGTCTGACAGTGTAACAGTACTCTTACTACAGTCTGACAGTGTAACAGTACTCTTACTACAGTCTGACAGTGTAACAGTACTCTTACTACAGTCTGACAGTGTAACAGTACTCTTACTACAGTCTGACAGTGTAACAGTACTCTTACTACAGTCTGACAGTGTAACAGTACTCTTACTACAGTCTGACAGTGTAACAGTACTCTTACTACAGTCTGACAGTGTAACAGTACTCTTACTACAGTCTGACAGTGTAACAGTACTCTTACTACAGTCTGACAGTGTAACAGTACTCTTACTACAGTCTGACAGTGTAACAGTACTCTTACTACAGTCAGACAGTGTGTGTACAGTACTCTTACTACAGTCTGACAGTGTAACAGTACTCTTACTACAGTCTGACAGTGTAACAGTACTCTTACTACAGTCTGACAGTGTAACAGTACTCTTACTACAGTCTGACAGTGTAACAGTACTCTTACTACAGTCTGACAGTGTAACAGTACTCTTACTACAGTCTGACAGTGTAACAGTACTCTTACTACAGTCTGACAGTGTAACAGTACTCTTACTACAGTCTGACAGTGTAACAGTACTCTTACTACAGTCTGACAGTAACAGTACTCTTACTACAGTCTGACAGTGTAACAGTACTCTTACTACAGTCTGACAGTGTAACAGTACTCTTACTACAGTCTGACAGTGTAACAGTACTCTTACTACAGTCTGACAGTGTAACAGTACTCTTACTACAGTCTGACAGTGTAACAGTACTCTTACTACAGTCTGACAGTGTAACAGTACTCTTACTACAGTCTGACAGTAACAGTACTCTTACTACAGTCTGACAGTGTAACAGTACTCTTACTACAGTCTGACAGTGTAACAGTACTCTTACTACAGTCTGACAGTGTAACAGTACTCTTACTACAGTCTGACAGTGTGACCACTAATAGGAAGTTACACCGAGTTACGTTTAGACACAATATGTCAAACGAACCACTACTACTACCACTACTACTACTACTACTACTACTACTACTACTACTACTACTTACTAGTACAACTAAAACTTATGCTGAGTAGTACCTTTGCACCAGGTCCAGCGCCACCGGCTCCGCTTCCCCGTCCTCGATCCGCAGTCTGCGGGACAGTTTGGACGTAAGTTCGTCAGTGGCCATGGTGTGGGTCGGTACCGGGACCAGGACAGCAGCAGGAGCAGACACGGAGCTGACACGGAGCAGATACGGACCTAGTTCCTCTTCCTCTCGCGTACAGGGCTGTGGCCACGAACATGTCTGCGCCGCTAGAGAGAGCACGAGGGTGGAGGGTGGCGGCCATCTTGCATTTACCACAAAAGCGGAACGACCTTCCACTAGCCTGAGTATTGGGTTCTTAATATGAATGGCTTTGTAGGTGGGGAGAATCAGGTGCTTTTAGCTTTTCTCCTTTAGAGCTGTGTTAAAGTTATAAGGCAGTGATTTAATAAATCAGTATGTTGTTATCATTTCCCATGTCTTTATCAGTGTTACGAGTATTGCGTTACTAAAGTAATAACTGTAATGTGTTGGTTTTTGCTTTAACAAACTAATGTAGGTAATCCAAAACAACTGGGAAATAGTTCACTCAGTATCGATCCATCCATCCATCCATCCATCCATTTTCTTCCGCTTTATCCGTTGCCGGGTCGCGGGGGCAGCAGTCTAAGCAGAGACGCCCAGACTTCCCTATCCACACACACCTCCTCCAGCTCGTCCGGGGGGACCCCAAGGCGTTCCCAGGCCAGCTGAGAGACATAGTCCCTCCAGCGTGTCCTAGGTCTTCCGCGGGGCCTCCTCCCGGTGGGACGTGCCCGGAACACCTCCCCAGGGAGGCGTCCAGGAGGCATCCGGAACAGATGCCCGAGCCACCTCAACTGGTTCCTCTCGACGTGGAGAAGCAGCGGCTCTACTCCGAGCTCCTCCCGTGTGACTGAGCTCCTCACCCTATCTCTAAGGGAGCGCCCAGCCACTCTGCGGAGGAAGCTCATTTCGACCGCTTGTATCCGCGATCTCGTTCTTTCGGTCATTACCCAAAGCTCATGACCATAGGTGAGGGAGGGAACGAAGATTGACCGGTAAATCGAGAGCTTTGCCTTTCGGCTCAGCTCCCTCTTTACCACAACGGTCCGATACAGCTCTGACTGCAGACGCTGCTCCCTCTTTACCACAACGGTCTGATACAGCGACCGCATAACTGCGCACGCTGCACCGATCCGCCTGTCAATCTCACGCTCCATTCTTCCCTCACTCGTGAACAAGACCCCGAGATACTTGAACTCCTCCACTTGAGGAAGGACCTCTCCACCCACCTGCAGAGGGCAAGGCACCTTTTTCCGGTCGAGCACCATGGCCTCGGATTTGGAGGTGCTGATTCTCATCCCAGCCGCTTCACACTTGGCTGCAAACCGCCCCAGTGCATGTTGCAGGTCCTGGTTCGTTGGAGCCAACAGGACAACATCGTCCGCAAACAGCAGAGATGAAATCCTGTGGTCTCCGAACCGGACCCCCTCCGACCCCTGGCTGCGCCTAGATATTCTGTCCATAAATACAGTGAACAGAACCGGTGACAAAGGGCAGCCCTGTCGGAGGCCAACATTCACCGGGAACAGGTCTGACTTACTGCCGGCAATGCGAACACAGCTCTGGCTCCGGTCATACAGGGATCGGATGGCCCTCAGCAGAGGACCTCCGACCCCGTACTCCCGGAGAACCCCCCAAAGGACACCCCGGGGAACACAGTCGAACGCCTTCTCCAAATCCACAAAGCACATGTGGACAGGTTGGGCGAACTCCCATGAACCCTCGAGTATCCGATGGAGAGTATAGAGCTGGTCCAGTGTTCCGCGACCGGGACGAAAACCACACTGCTCCTCCTGGATCCGAGATTCGACCATCGGCCGTAACCTCCTCTCCAGTACCTTGGAGTAGACCTTACCGGGGAGGCTGAGGAGTGTGATCCCACGATAATTGGAACACACCCTCCGGTCCCCCTTCTTGTAGAGAGGGACCACCACCCCGGTCTGCCACTCCATTGGCACTGCCCCCGATCGCCACGCGATGTTGCAGAGACGTGTCAACCAAGACAGTCCTACAACATCCAGAGACTTTAGATAGTCAGGGCGGATCTCATCCACACCCGGAGCCTTGCCACCATGGAGGCTACCAACCACCTTGGTGACCTCAGCCAGGGAGATGGATGTACCCGCCCCAACATCCTCAGCCTCTGCCTCTGTAACGGAGGACGTGACGGGGGGATTGAGGAGAACCTCAAAGTATTCCTTCCACCGCCCGACAATATCCCCAGTCGAGGTCAGCAGCTCTCCACACGCACCATACATGGTGTTGGCAAAGAACTGCTTCCCCCTCCTGAGGCGTCGGATGGTTTGCCAGAATTTCTTTGAGGCCGACCGATAGTCATGCTCCATGGACTCTCCGAACTCCTCCCAGTCCCGGGTTTTTGCCTCTGCAACAGCCCGGGCCGCGGCACGCTTGGCTTGCCGGTACTGGACAGCTGCCTCAGGAGTCCCCCGAACCATCATGGCTCGATAGGACTCCTTCTTCAGCCTGACAGCATCCCTTACTGCCGGTGTCCACTACCGGGTTCGGGGGTTGCCGCCGGGACCAGCACCAGAGACCTTGAGACCACAGCTACGAGCCGCCGCATCGGCGATTGAGGCAGAGAACATGGTCCACTCGGACTCCATGTCCCCCTCCTCCGCCGGGACCTGGGAGAAACTCTCCCGGAGGTGTGAGTTGAAAGTCCGTCTGACAGGGGGCTCAGCGAGACGTTCCCAGCAGACCCTCACTATACGCTTGGGTCTGCCAGGTCTGACCGGCTTCTTCCCCTGCCAGCGGATCCAACTCACGACCAGGTGGTGATTGGTCGAGAGCTCCGCCCCTCTCTTTACCCGAGTGTCCGAGACACGCGGTCGAAGGTCAGATGATACGACAACAAAGTCGATCATCGACCTCCGGCCTAGGGTGTCCTGGTGCCACGTGCACTGGTGGACACCCTTGTGCTCGAACATGGTGTTCGTGATGGACAAACCGCGACTGGCACAGAAGTCCAACAACTGAACACCGCTCGGGTTCAGATCAGGGGGGCCGCTCTTCCCGATCACCCCTCTCCAAGTGTCACTGGCGTTTCCCACATGGGCGTTGAAGTCCCCCAGGAGAATAACGGAGTCCCCGGGCGGTGCACCGTCCAGTACCCCTCCCAAGGACTCCAAGAAGGCCGGGTACTCTACACTGCCGTTAGGCCCGTAGGCCGTCACAACAGTGAGAGACTTGTCCCCCACCCGGAGGCGGAGGGACGCGACCCTCTCATTCACCGGGGAGAACTCCAACACGTGGCGGCTGAGATGGGGGGCAATGAGAATGGCCACCCCAGCTCGCCGCCTCTCCCCGCGGGAAACTCCAGAAAAGTGGAGCGTCCAACCCCTCTCAAGGAGTTGGGTTCCAGAGCCTAAGCTGTGTGTGGAGGTGAGGCCGACTATCTCTAGTCGGTATCGCTCAACCTCCCCCACGAGCTCGGGCTCCTTCCCCCCCAGTGAGGTGACGTTCCACGTCCCAAGAGCCAGATGTTGTGTGTGCGGACTGGGTCGCAGAGGTCTCCGCCTTTGACTGCCGCCCAGTCCTCTCAGCACCGCTTCACCACGGACCCCTCTGCAGGTGGTGGGCCCACAGGAGGGACTGCCCACGTCATCCCTTCGGGCTGAGCCCGGCCGGGCCCCGTGGGCTAAGGCCCGGCCACCAGGCGCTCGCATACGGGCCCCGACCCTAGGCCTGGCTCCAGGGTGGGGCCCCGGCTGCGCCATGCCGGGCGACGTCACTGTTTTCATTTCTGTGCTGTCCATGGTGTCTTCTGGACTGCTCTTTGTCTGACTCGTCACCTGAGACCTGTCTGCCATGGGAGGCCCTACCAGGGGCATGAAGCCCCAGACAGCATAGCTCCCAGGATCATCCGAGTACTCAAACTCCCCCACCACGTTAAGGTGGCAGTCCAGGGGGGGAGACTCAGTATCGCAACAAGCTACATTTAGTTTTTATTTATATATTTGGGAAAAGTAACTTCAAAGCAACTGGACCAGCTCTACACTCTCCATCGGATACTCGAGGGTTCATCGGAGTTCGCCCAACCTGTCCACATGTGCTTTGTGGATTTGGAGAAGGCGTTCGACCGTGTTCCCCGGGGTGTGGGGGGTTCTCTGGGAGTACGGGGTCGGGGGTCCTCTGCTGAGGGCCATCCGATCCCTCTATGACCGGAGCCAGAGCTGTGTTCGCATTGCCGGCAGTAAGTCAGACCTGTTCCCGGTGCATGTTGGCCTCCGCCAAGGCTGCCCTTTGTCACCGGTTCTGTTCACTGTATTTATGGACAGAATTTCTAGGCGCAGCCAGGGGTCGGAGGGGGTCCGGTTCGGAGACCACAAGATTTCATCTCTGCTGTTTGCAGACGATGTTGTCCTGTTGGCTCCAACGAACCAGGACCTGCAGCATGCACTGGGGCGGTTTGCAGCCGAGTGTGAAGCGGCTGGGATGAGAATCAGCACCTCCAAATCCGAGGCCATGGTGCTCGACCGGAAAAAGGTGCCTTGCCCTCTGCAGGTGGGTGGAGAGGTCCTTCCTCAAGTGGAGGAGTTCAAGTATCTCGGGGTCTTGTTCACGAGTGAGGGAAGGATGGAGCGTGAGATTGACAGGCGGATCGGTGCAGCGTGCGCAGTGATGCGGTCGCTGTATCGGACCGTTGTGGTAAAGAGGGAGCAGCGTCTGCAGTCAGAGCTGTATCGGACCGTCGTGGTGAAGAGGGAGCAGCGTCTGCAGTCAGAGCTGTATCGGACCGTTGTGGTGAAGAGGGAGCAGCGTCTGCAGTCAGAGCTGTATCGGACCGTTGTGGTAAAGAGGGAGCTGAGCTGAAAGGCAAAGCTCTCAATTTACCGGTCAATCTTCGTTCCCTCCCTCACCTATGGTCATGAGCTTTGGGTAATGACCGAAAGAACGAGATCGCGGATACAAGCGGTCGAAATGAGCTTCCTCCGCAGAGTGGCTCCTCCCTTAGAGATAGGGTGAGGAGCTCAGTCACACGGGAGGAGCTCGGAGTAGAGCCGCTGCTTCTCCACGTCGAGAGGAACCAGTTGAGGTGGCTCGGGCATCTGTTCCGGATGCCTCCTGGACGCCTCCCTGGGGAGGTGTTCCGGGCACGTCCCACCGGGAGGAAGCCCCGGGGAAGACCCAGGACACGCTGGAGGGACTATGTCTCTCAGCTGGCCTGGGAACGCCTTGGGGTCCGCCCGGACGAGCTGG